CCAAAAGAAACTACCAAACCAAAATCCTCTCAAACCACCCACCCTTCTGCAAGGCCAAAACCTCTATGGACATCCCAGGCTTTGCTCTCCATTTCTCCCAGAACTGTCCCATCTTGTGATCCAAGGGAGCCCATTCCTGGATTGAGAAGGAAATCTCCATGAATTTCAAGCTCCTTTCTCCCCTCCCTCCCAGGCAGCTCTTCCCAACCTCCTCCCTCAGCTCTGGGAGCTCCTCCCCATGTCCCTTCCCCATCAAACCTGGGATTCACAGAGGGYCGAGCAGAGGCTGTAATGAAAATGCAGGATTTTATTTAAAAAATGACCAAGAAAATGCCCTTGCAGAACGCAGCAGCAGGAGCTCGTTCCCTCCCCTCCGATCCCGCCCAGAGCGGAGCCGAGTCCCTCCCGGGACAGGAGAGGGAAGCCTGGATTGCACCGGTGGAGCAGCTTCCCAATCCAACAGCATTGTTTGGTCTTTATTCTAACAAAGGATACAACCCAAAGTGACTATGAGTGAAGGGCAGAGAAAAACAGGGAGCAGACGGCAGGAAAACGCGACAGAGGTGACTTGTTTTCCATGGGAGTTACAAATTGTCAGGAAAAGAAAAAGTGAAACTGCAGCATTACAGGAATTGGTTAATCCGGATTAAATAACGCGGTTCTCCTGGCGGGAATTACAACTCAGGAGCAGAGACAGTAAAATAACAGAGGGATGCTGGGAATAGCAACGGAACACGGTGGGATTCCAGCACAAACACACCCGGGGGATGAATGGATTCAAGGCAGGAATCGGGAATTGCAGTGGCTGGACAGCAGCTCCGGGAGAGGAAAACCAGGGAGTTCCCTTTGTCACAGGACAGGGCAGGAGCTTGGAAGACCAGAGGAACGGTTTGGTTCAGGAACAACCTGCGGGATCCTCCCGCAGCGAGGTCRGAATTGGGTTGAGCAAAATTCCTGGTTGTCTTTTAAGAGCCATAAAAAAACCTCAGGAAGAAAAGATGTGGTGGGAGGGGAGCCYCAGGCTGGGCAGCCCCAACCCCCAGAGCAGCAGGATGTGATTCCCACCCGGCCTGTCCCAGTTCCCTTTTCCTCCTCCCTCGGACCCCACTCCCAGCTGGGCTGTCCTGGAGGCTGCTCCGGTGCCCCCAACTTGCCCAGGGATGAGCTCGAGCAGCTGCAGGGACACAACAAAACCCTCCTGGAACASCGAGCCTGGCCTTGGGGAAATGGGGAAACCCGAGGTGAGGCCCTGCTGGATCAATCCTGCTCAGAAAGGGTCTTTCCTGGAGCCATGGGACCCTGTGCCCCACAAACATTCCCTGTGTCCATGCAACACAACCCCAGGGACAGGAACAGGCTTTGGTGGAGAAAACACGGATATAAACATGGATAATAACCCAGGCAGTCCCTCGGGATCCACAGGCTCTCACTGAGGATTCCTGCAGAGCATCCATCGGGAACCTGCCCGGGTGTCCCTACTGAGAACTCCTCACTCGGAATGTTCAGATCCCAGGA